GCAGCCTGGCTTCTGTCAGTCTGCCCCAGGGCAGCTGTGGCTACAACCGTAGCTGCCTCCACCAGTGTGTGAATGTGAGAGTGAATGAATAGTGGCATTGTAAAGCGCTTTGGGTGCCTTGAAAAGCGCTATATAAATCCAATCCATTATTATTATTAAATTACTTACTAGTTTAATTTGTCAGCGAGCTCAAAGTTAACGCGATGATTTGATCTTGGATGTGTCATTTGATCTTGGATGTAGTAAGCGAGGTACGAAGAACGGACCCCAGATGACAGTACTACATGTGATTATTTTGCACAGCACAGCAATGGATCACAGCGCAGCCGATGAGGGTCCTTCTCCCAGCAGACAACCTTCAAGTCCTGCTTCTAGAACACCTGTGGGTGTCAAAGGACAAGTGTCACTGAGCAGTCAAAGGCCCAAAGTATTGATAACTCCCTTTCACAGCTCACCCATAGCCAATGCAGCTTTTCACAGCAAACGGACAGCAACTGGGAATCCTCTGGGCTCTCCTGTCAGCTTTTTTCTGGGCACTGCTGGATGTGTGACCACTCCACTCTTCAGAGAAAGACCTACTGCTGCTGGGAACTCAGAAAGACAGGCTCACAGTTCAGGCTCATCACAGGTGACGCCAGGAAAAAAAGTGCAAGCAAGTCCGTCTACTGACAAGGTAAACAGATTTACTTTGAAATGTTATCAGGCAGTATTTAGAATATCCTGTGTTTATATAATGCACATATAAACTTGATAACATGACATTCTCATCGTCTTCAAAGGGTGCCAGCTTGAAGATGTCAAAGTTGGCTGTGAGAGACTCAGTGAAGTCTGGACCGCTGTTCAACATGGAGCTTCATCACAGCCCCAAAGGCAAAGGAAAGAAGACCGTCTCCACTTCAGTCAAACCTCAGGCTGGTTAGTCCATCCATTCCTTTGGAAACTTAAATTTTTATGAAATCTTTTATTGATTCCAGTTTGCTGCAGACAGATGGCATCATAAGTAACAAGTATGCATCAAAGTGCATGCCACGTTTACTGTTTAAAGGAGTAGGTGAAGAAGAAATCTGTGCATATATATCAAAGGAGCTATGTTTAGAAATGTGTCCAAACAGCAGTTTGCATCTGAGTAAGAATACAGGAATTCTCTATATCTGTGTCCGTTCCCTACCTTTACTTCATCTGAACTACTTACATACTTAACAGATTTTTTGCTGGGAACAAGTGGAAAAGACAAATAATGTTAAAGGCTTTAAGATAGGTAGTTCTTAAATTTTAACTAAAAATTGTTTTCTGTTCTTGTTTTGCAGTTGCCTGTGTGAGGCATTTAGTAAACAGGTGTAAATTGATACTGTGCAGTCAGTAATCATGCTCCAAATATTTTTAAAAAGGCAAATCATTTAAGCCTATATACCCGTATTGATAGAATTTCTTTGTTAACTCAAAAGACACGACGTTGAACTTTCATTCCCAGCGCTTTATTCGTTACGCCATTTTACATACATACAACAACAACACTTCGCGGTCAACAGTACTCTCGCGATATAACAGAAAATAACAAGTTAACAATCTCCCTCTTTCTTTTAAAAAAATAAAAGTATAAACACACCCCTGTAAACATTTGTATACATATATGTATATATTTATATAAACAAAATACATACATGCTTTACTTAAAGCATACTATCATTGCACACAATAAACAATGGTGCATTTTAATGCAAAGGCAACTTTGTAAACAAACGATTACAGTATCCAGAGTCCTTCATCTAGCGCCTTTAGAAGGGTTAAAGGTGAAACTCCCTTTTTTGTCAGACAATCAGCAAGTTGAGATTTTGAGTCTGACCAACAAACCTGTCTGATTTTCTTGGCTTGTATGAGCTCTTTAATGCTGCTCATTTCTAGCCTCAGTCTCTTCTCTGTAACCTGCTTAGTAGACTTGAGTGCATCAGACATGGAATGATTGTCAGTCACACAGATCAAAGGAAGAGCGTTCAGACCAGTGTTACCAGTTGTAAGCTCAGAAAAAAGTGTTGCCAGGAAGACAGCACTGTCTATTCCATCTGACATGGCAAGAGTTTCTCCTGCCAGTATACTTCTAACCACACGCCTGATTTTTTTTAAAGTGCCAGAAGAGAGGACAAAACTTTCCTCCTTTACCCATAAGGACAATTAATGCCCCTCTTTGAATACTGCCATCAGGAAGGTTACCAAATGATGAAGCATCACTGAAAACAACCAATGCCAGATCCTCACCCAAGTGCTGAAACTTAAGAGTCACTTTCTCTGCCTTAAGCTTACGGATAACTTTGTTCACTCAGGGCTCGCATAATCGCTAGCCCGACGTCCCGAGGCTAGCGATTTTTCCAGTCGGGCTACCAAAATCCATCTCTGCCCTGCCCGTCGGGCTATCATAGGAAGAAAAAAAATATGTCAATGCTTTTGCATTCTTTCGGAAATGTAGCTGGGTAATTATGTCATTGGCATCGATGAGCCACTGTAAATATGTGACATATTGAAATCGCGTTTGAATTTGCGCTTGTTTTTTGCTTTCACTTTGCAATCGCACGAACTGTGTATAGAGAGCGACAGTACTGATTGGTGAGT